GCTGATTACAGGTCTCGTTCTTATCGTGACTTTGAACCTAGCACAGGATTTACACATCCGACTCTTTCCCTACAAATCGCTTCGATGGTACATTTACAGTAAGGTGTATATCTTTGTTCAGGGGTTTGCGTCCGTGAATCATTGGCGAGGGCTTTGGGACATCTTGGACTGCTACACTGAGCGTAGTCTTTTATCGTTGTCGATGTCCGTCTTGGTGGCTAGTTTATTTCACTGGCTTGTTAGAACCAGCAGAACGTGCCCCAATGTGCCGACAAAGGCCAGCAGAGACAACGTCAAACACGTGTTTTGTTTTTATACAAGGTTTGATCAAAAATGGACGAATCACTGTGTGTACTATCTACTTGACATGTTGTTAACATACGTTATAATCGTGAGTGTGACCGTAATCTACTGGAGAGGAATGTTCGGCACTTTGGATTTGTTAATATTTGAAGAAGATTTAACGAGATCGGCATGGGTGTCCATTGCGATTGGTTACACGTTGGCAGTCGTGGGCACTGTACTTCAATACCCAGCCGCGATCATTAGCAGGAAAGTTGTACAGAAATCAGCGTTTGCTCAGTTGGTTTATGAAGACACGTTTGTCTACGTGTCCGCATTCATGTCGGTAAACGTATGGCGTGGGACGTGGTACTTATGTGATGTGTACATATTACCTGATGAATTTGAAACAAGTTGCTGGATCACTTTATCTGTGAGTGTCGTTGTGCTCTATTTCATTTTAGCCGCTAGAAATATGGGAGGCGGGGAATTTCGTATTGACGGGAAACCCCAGGACGGCACTGGCGTGTACTACGAACACTACTTCGACAGACTCAATGACATTAAATTTAAGACTACCATAGAGGTGCCACGAATGATGGATGCCTCAACTACCGCGAAAATAGTTGAACTGAGTGGATGTGAGAATGTTGTCAGCCGTGAAATTATCATGGGAACAGAAATATCGAGCAAAATGAATTAGAGTTTGGAATAAGTTTTCAATGAACACACTGAATATTGGCACCAAATATTGACTCAGGGGCATATTCATTTAGCAAGTAGAAACGCATGCCATCTTCCTTATCAGCATTTAAATTCGAGTCTATTGAACATGTTTAGGTTTGGAGTTCTATTGTCATTGCTCAGATTGATCTCTTCCCCTACTTCTTCCACCATTCCCCCGTGAGCAATTTTCAAATTTGTGTTGTAGCATGTCATGTTGGCTACCCATTTCACACACAGTATACCCATGTAGCGACCACTCGATATTTGCCATCATATTCACTTTTAAAAATTACTGCAAAAACTGCTTAAAATTCTCATGGAATTTAGCCTGCAGCATCTTTGTTCTGAGTGCTTTAAAATCAAATATATTAGAATTACCCACATGATTTGGTTGCCATATTGAACTAACGGAAAATAGCATAGAATGTAAAAAAATCTGTTTATCAGATACTGCTCAACCAATTTTTGTAAATCATAGATTGTGGCGTCTATCAACAAATGGCATCAATGTCAGACAAGATCATTATTAGCTACCGTGCGATTCTACGAGATCAATGTCATATCGACTTTCTGAAACAAGCCAAGATATTCTATCACGTGTTCTTCATGAACGACTTCCAGGTGAATGACCGACTGAACTAAGCATACTATTGGCAAGGGAATGCGATGAGAGATCCATAACAAATAAATGTGTATAACAGGTGTGACATGTCATATACATCCGGGTATTATTTTCAATCATCATTCCACCGTTGATGTACAGACAAAAAAAATACGCAAAGCGTAACGCGTATATAGACTAATATGTAAATGAGTATAGATTATTCAAACAAACAACAACATCACGTACTTCACAATTTGGGGTGTTCTAAATGCGATGAGCTGAATAGCAAATATCAGACGAGTAGTCTTAGTTAGAAAACCCTCCGACGGCGACACGAGGAAAGGGTTCTCTATTACGTAAGAATCATACTGCACAATCGTGACAATCTTGCTTCTCACAAGTTCACAATCTTTGTCCTTATTCACTACTATATTCTGTGCATATTTAGAAACATTACATAAGTCATAACATATGTCATTATGCAGTGTAGCTTTGTATTGTATCACCCCGTGTTTGTGCCTAAAATAAGCAGAATACAAGGATTGTATAAAATGACCTAGACACTATATCCAAAGTGTATTTAGCTAGCTTATGACATGTTACGTTAAATTCGTTCATCGCCGACTTTCCAAATATAAGTTAGTTTTGCAATTAAGTACCCAGGTCTTTTATAATTAAATACACGAATTTTTGCGCGCAGCATAGTTAATCAAACAAACACATTGTTTAAATTTCAAAAAAGAGCTATACGTTGTATGACTGACAATAAATAGCCGTTTGAATTTGTACAACCATCCCACAAGATAACTTTTCAGATCGTTGAATATTATGTCTCTCTATGATAGAATCTACAAAACTCATATTACCACGTTATATTACTGGAATGTTCAAATTTGAAAATCAATTCCGTAATCTATCAACTGTCTATGTTGAAGATTGTACTTACACTTTATTTTGACAAAATCCATCCAATGTTTATATAGTACATCGTATTTGTAATGTTGAGGGCCGTGGGCGAGATACACATTCTCGAGTTTAACAAGCTATCCTCTTTAAAGAACGTCAAACGTTATAATTAAATATGCATGTAATATGCACTACTTTAATGTGAGCTGATAATACAGGCAGTATCGCTTAGTTTCACGTAGCCTTACGCCCATCTCCCCATAATTTACACGAATGACTGCTGCCGATTTCTATAACCAGACATGATGAAGTTGAAGTTGCTGCGTCAGAGTCACCATTGATTTAGTTTATGTAATATTTCTCTCAAAGTCTTGTATACTTCTCTTACAACTAGAGCTTTGCGATATTAATAGTCAAATAACACATGCTGGTTTGTACTAAATAATTAATAAATAACAGTATCAATAGCTATAAACAATGCCCCATCACGTATTGCCCTTTGGTATAGCTCGTAGTGTAGCTAATATTCTACAATGTTGAGGTGAGAGGCTGGTGCTGGAGCACGTAAGCCAGTAGATTACAATAGTATGCTTGAGTCCAATTAGTAGTAGTAGGACTATGCTTTATTTTCGACAAATGTCCATAAGAATTTCCGCACCCAGTAATCATGAGTTGTCAAATGATTCAATTCTAAACGCGGTACCCAAAAAATGTCGCCTTGATCATCAACAAGCAAGTGCTCTTGCAACAGACTTATATCATTTGCACCACGCAGAGTGTTGTTAATCATCAGTGTTGACTTAATCGACCTGCAGTTATAAGTTACAATGTCAATTCCAGAGATAACGAAATACTAAGTCCGTTCAGGTCAAGCAATAACACTCATCTTAGTTTCAAAGTTATGCATTGTAATAGTATGTATCATTTGTGATTATTGCTGCATCATTATTACTCTATTTGTACATTATTCACATATTATTATTTGACAATTTCACTTTGTTTCATCATGTCAAACCTCACGTCACCTGCGTACGCGCGGGAATTGAGTCCCAAGCGACGATAACAACACACGCTAAAAACACAAAAGCTCATGGGTGGACGCTTGTTTGTAAACAATGACACCCTACGGCCATTTGACGCATGCGCAGTTGACGACTCCCCCGCTTTATATGATTTTTACTGTGTTATTGGTTGGCCATGTTTACCGTGACATTATTCACAGTTGTCTTTATTTGAACATTTCACCCGTTTCAACATGTTACACGTCAATATTTGCTCATTTTACTCGATTTTAGCTTTGTAATGTTGAGTTAATACACAGTTGAGTATTGAAACAGTTGAAACAATAGAACTCTAGTACACGTGCGCACTGGTTGATCACTGTGCATTAGTGGTTTTGTCTGTCAAGATATACTGTTGAGTGTCGTGCAGATGCGACATTTGTTATAACTTATAACCCGATTTGTCTACAGTATGGACTATCAAAGAACAATAATAACGAAATTACGTTTTCGTCCATATTGCATTATAAAAATATCATTGGCATAGACCATGCTGGGTATCTTCACATCCTCACTTCTGACGTTAACTCTTATATATGAATGTGAAAATAGAAAAAAATAAATTAGACTATAAGAAATATGGGGAGCATTTGGAAAAAACAAAGAAAATGCATAAATTTTCACAGTCTAATGTATTGAACTGCAAACAAGTCTAAATGTATGAACAAGCGTTGCAAATGTCCACATGGTGAAACCAAACCATGTCAGCCCAACACATAAAAAATACCACCACCTGAATCTATTAGCTTTGGATGTGACAGAGAAAGAGGATTCAAGTTTTAAGAAACATCTTTTGCGAGATACTACGTCAGTCATGAATGATGGTGTCATATAATCCCTACAGTCTGAACTTAATCTAGTCGAATTTGAAAAATTCAGTGACTGAGACTGATATTGAGACAACTGTTGCAGTTTCACAACTGTAAATCCATATAAAATTCAATTACGAATAAAAATGTTTTTATTGTCCAAGTGAAAAACTTTATTTTCAAAAATTTAAACAGAACTAAATCAGAACATGAATTATAAGAACAATGATATTAATTCGATTTATCATCCTAAATACATTACTCGGTTGTTTTTAAATCAATGGATTAAATAACTCTGTTGTAGCATAGAGCCTCACAATTTATCTATGTTAACACTGCACTGACACCTATCTACGGTATGCATATTGATGTACAACAAACTCCAGCATTTGAACATAAAATCTTCTATATCATTCAAACTACCAAGCGTCACTGTCCGATAAAATACCTATTTTTCCATGGATTGGTTATTAAACGTAACACAGCGTGATTTTGTCGCTGAATTTGCAAAAAAGGGTGATTTCGAAATAAATTTTTCGAAAATAGTCTGATATTATAAAACTCACAATATTCTAATATTGGCTTGTAGAACCAAATCCAATGTCGTTTTGGAGATGAGTTCTATTGAAATAGGGAAATGTATGTAAGTGCACAGGGGCTAGCATTTTTACAATAATTATTTACAAACAAGAGTTGCTCTAAAATAATACTTAACATACTAGTAATTGATATTTCCTATCTCAGTCTCAGGGGCGTGGTCTTGAGATAATGAACCAAGTATAGTGAGGAAGTTTAAAACTATCTTTGGGACAGACAGAATAAAAACATTATGTTTGGGGTACCTCCTTGCGTTTGTTGCATTGATTTTTGTTTGGAAGCATATTTTTGTATGGCGCATACAGTTTAGGGACGTTTTCAGCTTTTCTCGTAATTTAAAAAATAACATTACCATAACTCTTTTAGAATTTACATTATTACATTTCTGCTACTTTTTGAAAGTTTGGCGCATGAACAAACCTTATGTACATGATGTTTTATAAGAAATGCTACAAGAACTGATAATAATTGTAAAACTACAGATGTATACAATACCAGATGGCTAGCAGAGCTAACTGCAAAATGGCGGACACAATTTATTTGAACCCGCGCATTACATGTAGACATATTCCAATAACTACCCGACATTTTCCAAAGTGTACCTCTATCCTGTAACCTTCATCCGTAATTCACGTATATAACATGTCGAGGTAAGACGTTAGGTGACAACATTCATGAAATGACTTGTTGATCTTTCTTGCAAATCTTATTCGAAAGTAGACCTGAAGTACAACTTTTGAAGGTACATAATGATATAATTTTCACATTTGTGCTTCCTGAAAACGGTCTGGAGCCTGGAGAAATGACAACATTTACTTCAATACTATTGTAAGAATTCAATGTGTAGTTTAACGAAATCAACACTTATGCATTATTGCGCTGTCAAACATGACGGGTGACTGACTTCCATTGACCTTTGACGATTGTTCCACACTGTCCCGGGAGCGAGCATATATGTAGTATTCGCCATATAGGCAGCGTTCTCCGGACTCATGGCTGA